CAGAGATTCTTCACAGCTGGGGTTAGAGCTGATATATGAGGCAGGAGGGAGCCATGATGGTAGATGAATGACATCTTTTAATTAAATTAATCTGGCAACATTGCAGAGGTGAGACTAAGAGAAGAGTGTGGAATCATTAAATTCATTGTATTGATTCATGTCTATGGTGCTGTGGGCCTGCACTCTGGTGGTCCATAATCCTGGTGGGAATTGAGAAGGCTCCATGCAATTTAAAAAGGGACTAGACACAAGAGCAAGGAGAATTTAAGTGTTGGAAATTATTTCACAAAGTGCTATTTTGTTCCTCAGTTAGTCCCTTCCCTCTCATGTGGTTATTTATTAAATCATCTCAGATATTTGCTACTGTTGTTCACGTCCCAAAACCGCTTAACATTTTGTTATCTTTCATAAACGATGGTCTCCATAACTTCTCCCCATCTATACTTCATTTTTGCTTTTAATCTTAAACTAAAAATGTGCTCCTAAGGCACTCTGTTAATTAGAATGTTGGTGAAGCTCGCATCGTGGTGTTGTAATTACTTCTCTGTATCGTCTTAATTCCCCCCCACCCTTGTTCCCACCTGAAAGTGAAAATATCGGTTCACCCTCTTGATCTCAGCAATTAGTTAAGTGGTATGCAGCTGGTTATCTGGGGATGGGTTCAAATGTTTCATCATCTCTATTCAGGTCTGAATGGGAATCTTCTCGAGCAGCAACACCTGTAATTAGTGTGTCCTTGCAAGAAAGTTCTTCTGGAACAGTGGTTCTCAAACTGTGGTCCCCAGACAGGCAGTAGTATCCGGGGAAACTGTTAGAAATGCAAATTCCCAGGGCCCCAGCCCAGCCCTACTAAGTCAGAAACTCTGAGAGGGGCCCGCCAATGTTTTAGTAAGCCTTCTAGGTACAAGCTAAAGTTTGAGAACCGCTGTCCTGGAGAAATATCTTCATAAGGTTGAGCAGCCAGATTCAGAGAGTTAGGAAAACAGACTTTGGGAAACACTAGGGGAATTTAGAGGCTGAGAACAGAGGATGATTACCATCCTCTTAGAGATGATACAGATTTCCAGAGGAACAACTGCTGGAAGTGAGATTGTTTTGGTCCCTAGTCCCTGCCCCTTGAAAGAAAACGTGGCCAGCCATTGCTTGCCCTGTGCTTTGGAAAGACAAGGTCTTAAGTCAGTTTCGGGAAGGACTATTGGATCTTCCTGCTCAAGGGTTTTCAATGGATATTACAATGTTAATTGAATGAAGAAAGATATATTTGCCATTCTGGGTAAATCTTCTTTTCTTCTATAGACATCTAAATACTGATGATATGCCTATTGGATGATCAAGAGGAAGTAAGACCTCTCTCCTACACTGGACATTTAAACCACAAGCAACTTTTTATTGAGGTTCTTTTGAAAGTGTCTCAATCCTAGAGTCCTAGTGAAAACACTAAATTTGCCTAAGGTTTTAATCTCACCTTTGACCCATGGACTGTGGGAGTCTAAGAATGAAGAGTCCCTCAGCTTACCAACTATCTTGTGTCCCCTAATTGCTAAGTCACTAGTTAACCAGGAACAATTTAGGGAAAGTCCATTTACTACTTTCAGGACCAGAACTAGTATCCCTATTTCAGTTCTCAAAACTCCATCTCTCTCTCTCTCTCTCTCTCTCTCTCTCTCTTTTTCTCTCTACTGGCAACATATATCCACATAAAGGCCATTCTGATGTGGGCATGCCTCACCAGAATGACAATCAAAATTTAAGTGTGTAATTCGGAGTCACTTTCTTTTGTATTAAAAAAAAAGTGATTTCTAGCTCTTGAAAGTTCTGTGTATCTAGACAAGAAAGTCTCTAATTTTACATGAGAAGGAAGAGGGCTTTGTATTTCATTTTCTGTTCTACAATGAGCATTAATCATTAAGATAAAAATCTCTTTGGGAGGAAAATAAATCCTGGCTGATATGGCCAACCCTTTTATTGTTGAATTATATATTTTCTTTTTATAAGATCAATGAACTTCTCCGTGGGTTGTTTCCATTTGGGGAATGAAATGATGGGGCTTTAGAATCTCTGCTCTGTGGTCTCTGATTGTGTGTTTGTGGACTGCAGGCACTCAGAGGATTTATCTCAGAGGGCATCCTGATAAACAGTTCCTGCCACTTGAGAAAACTAGGCAGGACCTTTCTCCTTAGGCCCTTATGGCAAGCAGCAAAGAGCTAAAAGGGACAGAAAACAGACTTCCTTGATCACTCAGGTCCTACCTGGGTCCCAAGTAGGGCCAGAGGCTGGCCCTTTATTATCTCAGGGTTTCCTGCTTCTCTTCACCTCTTCCATTCTAGCAGAGCATGCTCATAACATTGGTGAGCTTCCACCAGAAGAAAAGCTGCTAGCACCAGCAGCATAATGTACTCCTTTCCTTTTTTCAGTCCAAAGTTTAGGATTCAGGGATACTATGAAACAGTTATTAAAATCAGCTCAAAATTTTTGAAAGAAGTACTAAAGAAAAGGTTTGATATGGTTTCAGCATTGTGTCTAAATCAGGAGTGCTGTTGAGGTGTATTTCTCAACACAGGCCCTTTAGCAGAGAGCCCTCTCATTGCTGCCATCAGGTATGGGGAAGATAGGAGGGAACAGCAGAAATGACAAGGAGGGAAAGGATCAATGGGAAGAAGTTGCTACAGCCTGATTCCTTATGCTCTTTTGAACATCTGCTTCTGTTTATGTGGAACCAAAACATCCTCAGTGGCATTGAGCTGACACCTTGCCCCCCAATTATCCCATTCTCTTGGACACCTAGCGAATGCTTTACCTATTAGCTACATTTTAAGGTTACTACCAAATAAAACACAAAGGCCATGGAATTAATGGGAGCTAGGAAATTCAGGGGACCCCCAAATATATCACCAATACCTGTTGTTGTGGGCCATAGTAAGGTTATTGTTTGACCTTGGTGAAGTGATAGTGGGTTTTCCGTGATAGACTTGGGAGCCAAAACTTTCTCTCTGTCCCTTTGATTATGACTGTCAGTCTTGATGAATATGAATTTAAGTGTACATCTAAGTCACTATTCATACAAATAAAACCATGAGTGCAGTATTTACCAGCAGAGCTTCCCATCCTCACCCTCTTACACACGCATATACACACACCATTCATTCTTCAGTAGCACATCGTACCAGTGGCTTACATAGCCTAGAGATGCATTGTCTCTTCAACCCTTGCAATCTATAGTGGATTTATGTCAACCTAGTTCATGTACTTCTTTTCACTGTGACTAGAGCAGCTAAGAGCCCTGATGCCTGCAGACCTTGTGGGTCTTGTTTTTAACATGAAACAAAACACCATCCTGGCTTGGGGATTGCTGAAGTTTCACTTAACTCTAGGCCTGAATTTTCCTTTTTTTCATTTAAGTTAATACCCATGTAGGGGAGGAGGTAAAGATCAGTGGCTTAGCTTTTTCTGCTCCTGCCTCCTTTCAGCACTGAACTAAGCAAATTCCATGCCATCTTCCCTCCCACTTGCCCACCTTAGTGAAAACCAATAAGTTGTCATTTCCTTTATAAAAGAAATGTTTTTTCAGTGTTTGCTTTTTCTTCAGTCTGCCTAGTTGGTAAATGCAAATATAGATACCCCCCCCCATGCTTGTCTGGAGGTTTTCCCACCTATTTGTGATTTGGGAGATGACAAAGGGCATGTTTGGCTTGTAATAGAGATCAAGAATGGATAAATCCAGTGCATGTCATATGATTGGAGAGTCCCATAGACTGCCCCATCATGCCTCTATGTGGGCCCTGCATTCCCATACTGCGCAGATTCCTGCCTGTTGAATAACCAAGCATTGTCCTTGCCCAAGTACAACTATACTAACTGGTATTGCGTACAGCGATTTCCAAAATGATGGTACTCGGAAATCCTCCATCCTGCACTTCTCAAGCTAGCCGTCTCCTGGTCCAGAGGTCCACGTTGCTTTCCTTCCAGGGAAAGTATTTTGCTTCTCCTCAAACTCCCCATCCTTTCCCTCACCTCACCTTCTTTATGTTTCTGGCCTGAGAGTTACCATTTGCTTACTGATAACAGTATACTATGAATTCCCATTCACAGCTTTGAGATGCTTATGAGGCTTTCCTGCTTCCCACCCAGCCCCAAACTTGGGACTTTTCACACACTGATCCTCTGATCAGTTTGACGCGGGAAAGCACATGGAAGCCATGTACCAGTTTGTATAGTAGTACCCTTTTGAACTGTCTACTCTTGAACAAAGTAGAGTCTGCTGGGGGTTCGCGTTGGCTGCTTGACACACACAAAACCAGTTAACCTGCATGCCAAAAAAAAAAAAAATTAACCCTTAGAGTACTGCTTCAACATTTTGGTTTAATGGTCTTGAACTTTACCAGTGGGGCAACGCTTCTTTCTCCAGATCAGAGTGCTGTACATAAAGTCCATACATAGTCTAGCTGGAACATCAACCAGGATCCTCTCCTCCACAGCTTTCCTGAGATGCTCCTGGATCTTTTATTCCTAATCAACCAATGGTTTTACAGAGGTCTAAAATGCAACCATGGGCTTAACTGAAAACGGGCTCTTTTTCCAACATGCTAGAGGGTATGAGGGATTGTTTTAGCTTTGGTATGTGTCCTCTGAAAGAAAGAAGTCAGTTCTTTAAGGGTTAATATGAAATTAAGGAATTTGATGGTCTCTCCTGCTTGTCCTTCCTCCAAGGTGTCTGCATGATCCTTTTTTAGATTCTTAGCTCAACTGTTGAATGATAAGAATAATGTATATATAAACATATAAGTACAAAAATGAATAAAAGAACAAAAGACTGAATGGTTGAATGGAAAGACCCCTTGGCGATGCTTGCTCGATTATCACAGAGGGTAGAAAGACCAAATGTTTCAGTCAACGAATATTCATTTTGTCCTCTACCCCGAGTACCACTACTACACAGTATGCAGAAGCCTTGATGATGCTTTTCATTTACCTCTTGCTTTTTTCTTCTTCCTGTCTAATAGCCCAATAGAATCCTGCCAGAATTTCTACAAAGATTTCACATTACAGATCGACATGGCTTTCAACGTGTTCTTCCTTCTCTACTTTGGCCTGCGGGTAGGTCTCATCCCCACTACGCGGTATCATGATGGGGCTTCTTGTGCCCACGGGCCGAGCCCCAGCAGCACCTGCTCTTGCACAGGTGAAGCCCAGTGCTTCCAGGGCAGACAAGAGACCCACATTCCGATTTTCAGCCCTTTCCTTAACTTAGCATTTTCGGAAGTGTTTGTTAAAATCTTTTCCCAAGGAGGAGACACAGGGATTGAAATAATCGTTATGCCTCTACTGGGCAACTGTTTCTCATCTCTCTAAATACTAATGCGCTATTGTCTTAAATAGAGAAAAAAAAACCCTTCTCTTAAAATTTATGTTTATCGGGGGTCACTTAGTTGAATCCTGAGAGAGTGGTTGTGAGGATTGAATTGAGGCACAGTAGCTTGGTAGAATTTGGGGCTTGGAGGATTTATAGTAGAGCCTGTCTATGAAGGGAGCCGAACAGAATGTGTATTTCAGAGATTGTGTGTGCATGAGTGTGTGTGTGAGTGGATGTGAACACATATGCTGTACTTCCAGTTATATTTCTGTTAGAGTCTAATGAAGGTGAGACCACTCAGACTGTCCCCATGGTGCAATTGAAAACCACAGGAAAATAGCTGGCCTGATGTTTCTCGAAGGTTAACGCAGTCTTCGGTCACTCTCTAGAAAAGGCTGTATAACCAAATTCTAAGGCAGAAACAGCCTGTGATTGGTATAGATCTGAGAAGGACATACCATCTCCCTCTAGGCCCCTGTGAAAAAAAAAACAAAACATAGCCTTTGGTGGAAGAGTATAGTTAGAAGGCGAGCATCACGCTTCTCATGTTTTTCTCATTTTCTCTTTCCTCAGTTTATTGCAGCCAACGATAAGCTGTGGTTCTGGCTGGAAGTGAACTCCGTGGTGGATTTCTTCACGGTGCCCCCGTGTTTGTGTCTGTGTACTTAAACAGAAGTTGGCTTGGTGAGTTCATCTCTTCCTTTCTTCCTACTGGTTTCTGAGCTGTGGGGGTCAGAGGCCTGAGCTGTCCCGACAGAAGCAGAGTTTTACGTATTTATGGGCACAACTCTTGGCATTTGGGGAGTTAGTGGTGACAGTTCTCTTTGGAGTCCTGTCCTGGCAGGATGTGCCCAGTTGGGGCTTCAGGTAAGGCGGTTTTATCATTGTTGAAGCCTACTAGTCACACCGTCACAGCCAGGACCTCTGCCTTCATGGTTCTCTCATTTTCATTCAACCTGCTGGGAAGACTGGACAAAGAAACCCATGGGGATGAGGCCAACTTTCCGAGGAGCTACTTCAGGTGCCTTAGATGTCTGCCTGCCAAATGTAGCTTCTGTCTGCTTCTTAGCTTTATGAAGAGTGGGTCCTGCCTGGCTTGTTTATGGCTATGGGTTCCTCTGTGGGGCAGGGTGGGGTCAAACATCTCGAGCCACCGTGTTCTTGAAGGAGATGGGACCTCCTTCCTGCGTTAAAGGAGGAGCTTTCTCTGGTGCTGTGTTCACATCTCACTTTATGTATCTGCTCAACATGTCACTTCCTGTCTGTCCCTGGCAGGCCACTTCCTGCATCAGGAACCAGGACACTTTGGTGAGAGAAGTAACTAGCTCAGAGGATGGTCATGGCAGCCAGAGGCATAGACAGCTTTGAGCGTCTTTTGGTTGCACTGAATAATTCTCTCAGAATGTTCCTGCTACTGTGGGTCTACAGGGGAAAAGGGAGGCTGAAACGGGGCTCAGAGGACTATTTCTGGGTTCCTTCCATCTTTATTTTTAGAAATTTTTTGTCTTAACTTTTTTCAAAGTAATATATATTGTTGTAGTCAGCATAAACATTTAAAGATGTATGAAGAAAACAGCAATCATGTCTTCCCCCTGCACCCATCACTGTGTTCTCCCTGGAATGCCCTGTGTTAAGAAACTTCCATCTTTCCTTCATGTCCCATTGCCCCAAACATGGATGCACATACAAGTATTGTAAAGGTGGTGGTCTTCGTGCAAATGAGTGTGTCCATCACATTGCACTGCAGTTTGGTTTTCTTACTAACTAATAAATAATGAGTATCCCTTCAGCTCTGTAATAATTCATTTTATTAGCTACACAAAATTCTATAAATGGTTGTATTATGGTTCATGGGACCATAATCCTAAGGATGGACATCTGATTATTTTCTTTTTGTGCTGTAAACAGTGGTTTAGTAAACACCCTCATTCACATATCTGTATAGTTCTATTTCTCTAGATGGTTCCAGGTTCCTAGAAGAGGAATTGCTGGTTCAAACAATGTGTATATTTTAGTTTGTACAGATATTGATGGCTCATTTTCCAAAAATGTTGTGCCAAGATATGCTTCCACTAGCAAAATGTTTTTGATGTCCTTGCTAGCTTTGTGAATTTGTTACATGCCTAGTATCAACTATTTAAAAAAAGAAGCCCCCTTTTTATATGATGCATGGAGTAATCATATATGCACATATCTGTGTGTATCTGTGTGTGTGTGTGTGTGTGTGTGTATCCCATAAAGATGCTATTTTCTACTAGTTTTCTCATTAGAATTGTGTTCACTTGCTCAATGGAAAAGTTTTTATCCTTGATCCAAGACATATTTGCTTAGATTGGGTTTCCCAGCCAGTAAGACGGGACTGTCAGAGCCACTCACCAATCTGAGAAGTGTCCTAGGTGTGATCTGAACGTGCTCTGGTGTTGAAGGTCCCAGCTACCTCAGCTTGGCTGTTAACTGGGTTTGTGACTTGGGGAGCTCACATTGCTTCACTCAACCTGTTGTTTTTCATCTGTAAAATAAATTTTAGGTTAGATTATTTGATTTCTCACATACTTTCAGCTCAAAATGTCTCTAAGACTCTTGCATTGTTAATGGGAAATTTGGGATCTAGGTTGTGGGAAGGATTGGAGGGTTAATGAAGTCAAATCACCAACAGTCCTGAGTCAAAGTAACATTCGGGCTGCTAACCAGGTCTCGTCCTAGAGCATCCTGTGGTGAAGAGTATACACACGTGCACACATGCACTCACGTGCATGCATGCACCCTGCAATACTCCAGAAATACAGATAGGCAAGGACAGAGACCAGGTTAAAGATGTGGAGCTGAGCCTCCTTGTGAGGCTAAAAGGAGTGTCAGCAGAACTTGGATGCTAAAAATTGGTGTCTTTTTGTGACTGATTTAATCCTGATTTTTGGAGTGGTGTTCTCATCTAGTGAAAATCCACCAGAATGAGTACAAAAAGGAGAAGAAAAAGAGAAAGGAAGAGAAATGAGATACACTTTTGTATCAACTGTGGTTGCTCTTCAAGAAGAAGAAGAAGAAGAAGAAGAAGAAGAAGAAGAAGAAGAAGAAAAGAAGCAGCTCTAAAATTTGCTTTGATTTGATCATTAATTGAACAATATTTATTAAGCACCTACTATGTGCCAGGCACTTTTCCAGATGGTTAAGGAACAACAGTGAATAATGGGGTGCCTGGGTGGCTCAGTTGTTTGGGCATTTTACTTTTGATTTTGGCTCAGACATGATCTCAGGGTCATAGGATCAAACCCTGTGTTGGGCTACCCATTGGACATGGAGCCTGCTTAAGATTTTCTCCCCCTCCCCACTTCTTCACACTAAAAAGAGAGAGAGAGAGAGAGAGAGAGAGAGAGAGAAACAACAGTTAATACAATAGACAGTGTCGTATCCTGTGACATTACAGTGGGGAAGGAATAGGAAGAAATGACCCTAATAAATAAGCAAATTATGTAGTATGTTAGGAAGCAGAAATATTTTGAAACTGGAAACTGACCAACAAACTTTTGGGCTATGAAATAATAATAAAAATAACCACAACAAATAATCTTTCTTCTCTTATAGCAGAAGGCACTGTCCATGAAATACAGTTGGCTCTTTGGTAACAACCTCTTGGGCGAGATCTGCAACTGGTCTGCCTGTTATGGAGGAGAATTCAGTATAATAATATTTCAGGGAGGCTCCCACGTCTGGTTTAACACATGGGTTATCACCTCATGAAACAATCACCGTGCTGATGAGCTGCCAGAGATAAAATGAACATTTCCATGAGGTAGGGCTTATAATGTAGAAAGAATAATCCCATTCAGTGGAGGCATTTCAGGAGGAGCTCCCTTCCTCCTGGAAAATGAAAAGGTGCTACCCTTCCTGGCAGAGGTTTGGTAAAGATGAGGAAACTTCAGTCTGTTCTGTTTCCTGCCCCCCCACACGCCTGCTGAGGCCTGCCACCCAGGGGGCTGTGCTGGAACTGGATCCATGGAGGTGCAACACAGGATGAGCACCGTGACCCCCACCTGTACATTTCCCAGGGCATAACATACACTGGGCTTGACTCCTTATCATTGAGTATGGTTGTATAGGGGATAGTACTCATTTACTTTACCGTATGCATTACCTTAGTACATTGGACGGCGTGTTACTAGTTATTGTTACTAACAGCTAATTCTGGTTCTGCTGTGTGCTGGGCACTCTGATAGGCCCCCAACACACCTGAACTCACTTAATGCTCAGAGCAAACCTGTGAGCTGGGAATGACCTCTCCCCATTTTGCAAAACAGGCTCAGATACGTTAATTCCTGTCTTAGGTCGCATAGCCTGGGAGTGTTGGAAGGGGTGATGTGCCTCCGATTTGACTTTATGCCCATATACATGCTGTTCTTCTGCCTCTGTCCTTACCCTTAAAAGATTGGGGATTTTGAGGACAGGGTTAGGGTGACTGAGCTGGTTTTGCCCATTTCTGCTGGCCATTCTCCATCTCTCCTTACTCAGAAAGCTTCACTTCAGGCAGGCAGGGATCTCAGGGTCATAGGATCAAGCCCTCTGTTGGGCTCCCCTTTGGGCATGCAGTCTGCTTAAGATTCTCACCACCCCCACCTCTTCACACTAAAAAAAAAAAGAGAGAGAGAGAGAGAGAAACAACAGTTAATACAATCTTACTTCAGAACACACATCCTCATGCCTCCTTCTCTCCTTCCCACTCCTTGTCCACCTCCAGTATCTAGAGTTGCCATTAGGACCTGGGAAATATGCAGAGCTTGTGTGGTGTCTCCTGAGTCCTAAGGTCTCGTAGTACCTTGGGGGTCAGATCTGCTCTACCTGGAGGGAGGGAGAGACTAGGGACTTCCACACATGCTGTCAGTAGAGCAGAGTGGGTCAGAGCCAAGTTCTGGGTTACCACCTCAATTCACATCTTGACTTGGCCAGTGGGTCATTTTGAGCCAGGTTGTTTATTCACCTCCTCAGGTTGTTGAGGGGATTCAGGGAGGAAGAGGAAGTAAAGCACCACGTACATAGGACGAGCTTCGTGATTATCCTGGGCTTCTCTTTCTAACCTACCTATCATATTTTAAAGCGCCAAGGAAGAAAACAAACCAGAATGGAACCAAAAATAAGGCAGTGGGATGTGAGGACATCCATGTTGGCAGGCGGCAAGTTGCTGCTTATTTTAATTCCTGTTCCCACACACCAGCTTATTCATTTTTGTTTCTCTCACAAAATCCTTATCCTACCTAACTAAAATAAATGTACCTTGAAATGAGAGATGTATTTTATTTTGAGACTAGAATAACATGCTCTGGGGAGAACTCTTCTGTCTGTCTCCTTCTTTGGGGAACTGTATCCCCAAGGTAGGTCAACGGGCAGTGCCTCCTTTGTGTATTTATTTATATGGTTTCATCAAGGGTCATTTTGTGTGGTTAAAAGAAGAGAGTAGAGAAAAAAATAATGATGTGCTTCCTGGCCAGTCATCTCACCAGCTTTTATTGAGCGCTTACTGTGTGCTCAGCACTGAGACAAAGGGATTGTGTCTGGCCACCCTCTTTCCTAGTCTTGCTATGATTTCCAACCTTGTCCCTCTTCTCTGACTAATGAAATCATGGGATGGTAAGGAGCCCCAGGCCTTGAACCCAGGGTGGAAAAACTATAAACTGTAAACCTACCTGCTCCTCTAG